AGGTGCGTTTGTAGTATGAGCTGTTTGCATGAGAAAGCCAGATAACTGGAGGCTGAGGTGAGCAGAGCTTTTGGTGTTCTAACAGGAAGAGTTTGAGATGAATTGGACTGTTTTTCTAAATTTCAGGTGCAAACACCTGTGAGAGTGAAGCAGTTGGTACTGTAGAGACAGAAACAGTTGGGAGCCAGGGTCAGGCAGCCTGGTCTGTGGAATCACAGGCTTTTATGCTTCACCTTGTAATGAGTCAGCAGTTTGGGCTTGACTCAAACATCTCTCCCTTTGAGAAATCCAGTCCTGTTTTTGAGACAGCAAGTCTAATGCATCTATTGGCAAACTGTTGCCCACAATGAAGATGCTTGCTGCTTAAAAATTTAAACAAAAACAATGCATCCTGCAGATTGCCATTCTCATTGGCAATGGTAGCATGTGCTTTTCTAGACCAGTCATGAAGGAAAGATGCAGGCAGATGTTGGCAGATGCAGGAGCTTGCCAAACTCTGACATTTCTACTTGATGTGTTTTGTGCTCCCTGGAAACACATGGCCACAATCCATTCCCTTCCCACCACAAGTTTCCATCATCTGCAAACAAGGGCCATCACTGTGTCCCCACAGGTGCTTTGGCCCACTCAGCAGCCCCGTTTGGTGAACAGGCTGGTTTGGGCACGATGGTTTCGCCTGTGATGGGATCCCCTCGCACCCGTCACCGCTGCGTGGGGCACTGGCAGAGCTATCAGATGACACAGCAAGGGGGTTTTCATGCGTGGCCATCCATTATGGCTCTGTTACTATATTAGGGCAGTCACTGGAACCATCTGCTAGGGCAGGCTTGGCAGGCTGGCAACCCACATGCCTGCCTGTGAGATGGCATTCCCTGGCTCTGGGCAGCAGGCAAGACCAGCCTGCGGGACTGTCCTCTCGGAGGTCATTTGCCAGAGTGGCATTTGCTAGTGGTTCTTTGCTTAAGGCAGTTTTGTCCTTTTTAGGGGGAAAAGGGGTGTTTTGGTAGGCAGCAGTGGATTTGGCAGAGGAAAGCCTGCTGCAAGTGGCCTGTGTGCCACTCATCCTCCCGGCTCCTTCTGTGCCAGCTGCCATGGGACTTATATCCCAACTCAAAACAGCCGTCTTTCGTAGCTGTCTCCAAAGCTGGTGTGGTTCAGCAAGAAGAGCTTTTTAATGATTCCTGCCCAATAAGCTTGTGCAGAGTCAGGGTGCCCAATTCTAGTCCTAATCCATGGAAAAATGCTGCCGCTTTATTCTGTGGATGCGGAAAGTGCGTGTTGTAGAGCTGGCACCGGGTTTTGTCGTCCACGCTGCGAGACCACTGAAGCTGTTGCAGTCCTGGGAGCACAGCACAGCAGCTTTGTGTTAGTGGGGCTTTGGTTGCAAAGGATGCTTCCGGAGGGACCGGCTTGTGTGCGGCTGGAGACCTTTCACCAGCTGTGTGAGGATTCCGGGAAACGGCACAGCACGCTCGGCTTGCGTGAGGGGGGAATAAAAAAGCAGAGCTAATGACTGACTATTATTTTAAGGGGATTATCTAATCTGCAGCCCAGAGGACAAGAGGGGGCAAAATGAGTGAAGATTGAATTTGTAATTAGCGCAGATTGTTGGTAATACCCCCTGGACTCCAACTGATTATAAACAGAAACAGATTTTTCTAGTTTCCTGCTCCCAAAAAAAAGTCTTTACAGGCCAAAGGGCCACTTTGTACTGAGAAACTGATGCTGTTGAATTGGGTGATCAGAGCTGGGGCTGTGGAGATGTTTAATGCAGAAGGTGGCTGGGTAAGAGGGGACACAGAGGACCAAGTTCTCTTCGGTTATTTTGCAGTGTAAGGGCAGAGTTTTGGATGGAATATGTGGAAGGTTAGTTTCTGTTACCCCACCAGCCATCCTGCAGCTCCATCCCTGCTGCCAGGTCTTTCACCCCCAGCAGCTGTGGGAAGAGGAGGTGCAGGGATGTGGTGGTGACCTGGGCTAACTGGAGATCCTAGCAAAGGCTGGAAATTGTAGTGGAGCCCTCTCAAGTACCTGCTTAGGAATATTTGGATTCCAGGATTTGAGATATGATTATTATCAATAAGGTAAGCAATAAGACCAGAGGCAACAGGCAGAAACTGCTGCACTGGAAGTTCCACCTGAATATGAGGAAGAACTACTTTACTGTGCTGGTGGCTGAGCACTGGAACAGGTTGCCCAGAGAGCATGTGGAGTCTCCCTCACTGGAGATCCTCAAGAACTGTCTGGACACAATCCTGTGCAATGTGCTCTAGGACGACCCTGCTTGAGCAGGGAGGTTGGATCAGATGAACCACTGTGGTCCCTTCCAACTGTACTCATTCTGTGATTCTGTGATGTATATTTTTGATGTTGTTATTGCCTGGGCCTGGTTATTAGCTGTCTGAGATCTGTTAGAGGCTCATACTTTTTACTTTCTTCTACTCTGATGTACCGAAGGTCATTAGAAGTTAAGTGAAAGGCATTTGCAAGAGTTACAGATCCATTATTAATACAAAATAAAAGATGTTTGGCTAAATCCATCAAGCCTGAAAATACAGTTGGGCACAAGTAAGCTGAGTAGGAAACAATGGAAGGAATAGTGAAAGCAAATGGCACGCCCAGGTGCTAAACTTCTGAAGCATTTAAACAAGACAAAGAAAATAGCACTCTAATCTCTGATGACAAAAGGGTTTCTGTTCCCTTCTCTTTAATTTGGTCAAAATGGATGAGTGAGAGAATCCTCATCTCCATTTGGGTGAAATGCCATGAGATAAAAAAACTATCCTTAGTCAAACTGAGGTGAAATCCCAGAATTTGGAATTTTCCCACATAGAAGAATGTTTGAAGTGGTCATTTTGGTACATTCTGGCTGAATGTTTCCAACACGATTCAGCTGCTGCAGGAACTCTCATCTCATAAATTATATCCCAGAATGAGATTGTAAATGGGGATGTCAAAACCCATTGTGCTGTTAAGGACCTTGCTGAAACACTCTTTTGTTTCAAATTTCTTTTCTAAATAGAAGGCAAGAGTAGTTATGCAGTTCCTGGGGATCTTTTTTTCATTTTGCTAGGATGGCCAGTGAGAATATTCTGCCTCAAAAGCTCTGATGATCACTGGCCTGGAACCATGTGGGTGCCTAATGGTACTGTGACCCCACAGAGCATCTTCTAGGTTTTAGGAGTCTTTGGAGTGTGGGGAAATACTTTCCAAAACACACCAGGGCAGGTCGTCATTGCCCTGATCCAACATTGTGCCAGCTGAGGAGTCTTGTGTAAAACAACAGACTGTGAAATAATCTGCTGAGATTTTATTAGCTCCAAATCCCTTCACCTGTTTTGCAGAAATGAGCTTAAGAAAAAGGGGTGGTGCAGCCAGGCTGCTCCCAAACTGCCCTGAAGCCTGAGCATCCCTCGTGCCAGAGGGACTTGTTCTGTCTGTGCTTGGAAAGCAGCCCAACATGGGCAGAGATGGCCTCCCAGGACATTCCTTTCCAGGTGGCACCTTTCTGTTTACCAGGCGGGTTTTGCTTGCACCTGGCCCTCAGTGTACATGGAAAACTACTTCCTTTGAGCCATTTCTGACCCCCTTTGTTGGCCTGGGCTGACTCACTTGTCATGCTAATGTTGTTTGTTTTGCAATGTTTGGGTATTTTTTGATTAAGAAATACTGCCTGTTTGCCTTGGCAGTGATGTTCATTGGATTGATGTGGCATTTTTTAGATGGAGTGTTTATTCAGCCTTTTGGATTCTTTCTCAGGGGTGCGGTGGGATGATCCAAACCTGTCAACATGCTGATGATCCAGGAGGCTTGTAAAAGGCTTGAGCCAGGGTCTCTTCTGATGGAAACCAACAGTTTCCTCCACTTCCAAAGGCCAGGGTCTGGGGATAAGATGAAAAGGCTTAATTGATTGCTGTCTGGGTGAGAAACCTGGACCCCAGAAGGAGATGGCAGCTCCCTCCCACAAGCAGGGGAGCAAGGGACCTATTGCCCTTAGTCAAGCATGGGTGCACCCACTCAGTCCAGTTGATTGACAGGGACAGTCACTCCAGATGGATCTGGCTAATGGCATCTTAGAGCAACTTTTCCTTTTGTTCTTGGCCCTGAGAATTGCTGGTGTTTAGTCTTTCCACATTGTCTATTTGGACTATTCTTCTCTGTCCCAGGAAGACAAGGGTGACTGTGACTTACTGCTCAGCAGGCCCCTCACAGCCAGTGATGGGTTGCCACAGGCTTTTCCCCCATTAATGTCACACTCCTCTGTCAAGACTATCAAAACTTTCATACTGGATATTTTCTTGGGTTGGAACTCACATGTGCTTCATCTCAAAGTCCACATGTTGCAACACCAGAATGCCCAGAGTGCATGATCCATTCACATTCCTTCCTTTCCAGTGCTTTGATGAGGTGGAACTGGGATGGGATGTGTTCTTAGGACATTCTAAGGAGCATATTTTACACATTGTTATGTAAGATTGCAAAAATGCAGAGCTCCTCAGGTCCTGCAATCAGGAGGTTTTGGTGAGCAAGGCCTTCTGCTGATCTGGGTTTGGGGAACTGTTTGCACTCGTCAGGATTTCCTCACTCCTGCACACATTCTTGTGGTGCCTGGGAAGCAGACATGATTTGCATTGCTAAACACCTGCTCCAGAGCTCAGCTGGTTTTCTTTAGGAGTAGCTCTCCAGTAAGCCAGATCCCTTTATCTCTTTTGTTTTCTTACAGGGGCACTACACATTTATGATTTTTTGATCTCTCCAAACATAGGGCACTGGGAGGTACTCTGGGACCAGTGGGTGCAGGACTGATGAGATGTTTGCTAAGCTCTTCTGGCCCATCCAGCCCTGCTATGATGTCTTTGACTGCACTTGGACCCAGCTGTCCTCAGCTGTGTCATGGGCTGCCCCCAGGAGCCCAGTTTTGGTGGGGGCTGGAGGTGCCATGTGTCAGAATGCTAACAGACACCACCTGTTAATAACCCCCTCTCTCCTTCTGCTTTCAGAGCTGGCATATGACCTGGATATGGACGACATCTCTGCAAATAAGCAGCTTCTGAATCAGCAAAGTAAAGATGGTGCCACAGTCCCCAGCAGTGACCCTGTGAGTGCAGCCACCCGCCCCGGTCCTGCTGCTGCCTTTGCCCTGGTCCTGCTGCTGTTGCTGGGCCACTGGCCATGAGCGGAGCTGGAGGCACCGATCCATGTCTCTCCATGCCTTTTTTTAATGAGGAAGACATTTGGAACTTCTTCTGAAATATATGCACATTTCTGAAGACAGGATAAATGGCCTGAGTTGCTTTTTAAAGATAATCCTATTTACTGTGAGCTGGTTCGTATTAAACTGTGTTCTTCGCAGTTTTTGAAGACTAAATTCTCTCTTGCTGTTAAGGTGAAGACCATATTTCATCTTGAGTTGTTCGAACATGCATGGGGTACAGAACACCTACAGTTTATGAAATACTCTCAGCAAATATTAGACCCCTGATCCTACGTGACTTAATACAGATTTTTTTCTGTAGTTCAAGCGGTTTTTGTACTTAGTCCAAATTCGAGTCTCACCCCTAGGAATCTGGCCAGGACATAATACTGAGGGCATGTGAAGACAAGGGAGAGAGAAGATCAGACACACAGCAGGAGGAAAGATGCTGTGGATGAGGAGTTGCCATGCACTGGGATTATCACGGAGACATGCTTCCCTGGGCGCGAAACATCTTGCATCATGGCAAGTTGCAGGTGACTTTGCTGCTCACATCCCAGCCGAGTCCTGAAGCCCGTCAGTTCAGGTAGCTGGTCCCTACCAGCATCCTTGTGGCCCATGCAATGCCCTGGTTTTATTCTTCAGAAGTGAAGCACCTCCTTTCCCACGGGAAATCTGCTAAGGCAGCTCCAGCCAAAGGACAGACGGCGTGGATGTACACACTGTGCTTTACAGGGATGAATAACGGGCGTCCAATGTGCTGTGCTATGAAGGAGGAAAAGAAAAGGATTTGTAAGAGCCTGAGGCAGATGAGACTCTTACTCATGTGTTTCTTTGCATGTTACTTTACATAAGGTATCTCTAAAATAAAGATTGGTTGCTCTATAAGTGGTGCATTGGAAGTCGTCTCACATGTGTTGGAGATGATACTCAGTCTTGTGCTGGAGTGGGCAGCCTGGGAAGGCCAACTGTGCCCAGCTCAGGGCCACCATGGAAAGACTTGGCTTGGTCTGATTAAAATGGAAGGGCTGGGGCCAGGGAGTGTTTGGTTTGGTTCCTGGCCAGGACAGTTACATATTTCTGTTTAACATGCTGCCTTTACTAGAGTGGTTATATCCACAGTATCTTAAGCCTCAGTGTGTGCATGTACGTGTGCACGCACACCCTCACATGCATGTGAATGCTTTGAATATTTGTGTGCCTCAGACCTCTTTTTACAGCAACTTTGTGTTTAGGAGGAAGTAGATAAATCCGAACCGTGCAGTCATATGCTTTGGAGAGTGGAAGCTTTGCTCAGTCTGAGCGGTGGGGTTTATCTGGCTGACCCTGATTTGAAGCCTTGGGACTGTGTGAAGTGCTTTGGGATTGTGGCAGAGGGAGAGAAGGTTGCTCATCCACTTCTGAAGATGCTAAGTCCCAATTCACTGTTCCTGATGGAAAGGAGCAGATCTGGGCTTAGCCTCAGCACGACCTGCTGGTCAGTGGGTTTCAGAATCCTCATGTCCCATCTGCATTGGGGTAAGTGCTGGGGATGTTTGGGCAGCGCTGGTGTCGTGCAGGATTTGTGTGAGGGCTGAATTTCTACATCCACGTGGTGTGACGGGGTTTTGTATTTTATGTGTTCACAAACCAAACTGCAATCCTTTCCATCTTTTGGGATCACACTTGCTGGGGAGCCCTCGGGTCGGAGGGGTCCCAGTGCACAGGGTGATGCAAGGAAGAGCCATCAGCAGTGCTGGCAGAGGCATTTCTTCATCCTCCTGCTGCTTTGCTCTCGTTCTGGCCCAGCCCTCCCCATCACCCCAGCTCTCTGTGCCGCAGCTGGCTGAGCCCATGAGCCTCTGCTCCACCAAAGGGAATATTTTATTAGCGCCACTTGAATTTCCATCGCTTCTTCCCTTCTGATCCTTTTCCTTTCATCCCCCGGGAGCACTGGGGGTGGGAGCAGACCACTGGGTTTATTCAGAGGTGATGTGCTGCCTCTGTCTTGCCAGGTATCGCTGATACCAGCACAGGAGCATCCTCTCCTCTAATATTGTGTCAGAAATATTCTGTGTGCTGCTGGTTCCTTAGATAAGCAGCAGGATGGGATGATGGCATCAGCTTCTCAGTACAAGTCCAGCATGTTTTCTCTCTGAGGGAGCTGGCACAGGCTGTTCCTTGCTGTGTGTCTCACAAAGCCTGGTGGGTTCTCCCACTCTGCATCACCACAGCATGATGCTGATGCTTCTCAGCAGAAGACCCCTCTGAGGCACGCTGAGCCTGGTTTCCCATTGCACAGACATGCTGTTTAGCAAACCTGTGCTTTTTGGAGACGTTGTTGTGATCAGAGATCACAAAAACCAGCCTTTGAGCCCACTACCTGCCAAGTTTATAAAATAATGAATTATAACTTGAAAAAGCAGCTGTTGAATTTTCCCCTGCTGTGGGTTTGTGCATGTTTTAACTGGGGGTTTGCAAGGGATGTCATGGCCACCAAGGGGAATAAAGCTGGTGTTTAATATCAGGCAGTGTTTCATTCCCGTGTCATGAGAAATAAGGAATAATTGTTCCCTATTTTTTTCTCCACACCAACTCTGTGTACTGTGACCTGTGTTGCCATGGGATGGGACCCCTGCATCAGGAGATAGGCACTGTCACCTCCCCCTGTACATGTGTACTTGGAACTCCACACCATGTCCCAGGGCTTGCAGGTTTAACTGCTAATACACAGTTGAGATTATTTCAATTTTTAATTTTATAATTATTATTATATATTATTAATGAGTATACATGTCATATATGCATTTTTATGTCATTTTCTAGACAATTTCTAGCTCTGCAGTGAATTCTAGAGCCAGTCAGACTCCCTGTGCAGAACCAGGGGTTCCTTGGTGCTCTGCACCTGCCCTCTGTCTGCCAGCACTGTGTCCCAGCAGTACCTCGTGGACTCAGCGCCCTGTGCTGCTACCAGCTAAAGGAGAAACCTTGGGAAGGTTTCCAGTCTCAGGTGATTGAGCTGTCACCCCTGCCAGTTAACCTTAATGCTTCCCAGCCAGTTCTGCAGCTCCTGCTAAGTTCTGGTGGCAGCAGTGGGGTGGCAGGAGCCTGCAGCCCTGTGCACATCACCCGTGCAGGCAGGAGTGAGCAGCATCATGCTGCATGTGAAGGCACTGCATCCCTGGGTGGGGGTTGCAAGCAGCCTTGAAAGGTGGTGAAGCCAGCACCTTTTCCTGTGTCTGAGAGTGATGATGAGATGCAAACATGTGCTTAGCATGTGTAACATATTTCTGCACTAACTGTGCATCAAATTATAATTTAAAACCCAAATATTTTTGTTGGATGAGAAGTCCTAGTTCATTAATCAATTGACTAATAGTTTAGTGCTGGAATGGCAAAATCTAACTCACTGAACAGCTGCTAGAAACAGCTGGTGCTTATGGCTCATGCTGTTTGGGGAAGTGAAATCTAGAGAGTCTCAGTTTCGTTTTTCAGGGGCATTTTCAGAATTGCTCGTTCATCTCCCTGAGCAAAGCCTTCAAGCACTCTGGAGCATGGACCCAGCATGGATGTTGGGACTGGATTCACTGGGACTTCCAACGGAAACAAAATCCCCTTTGCAAGGAGGATGCAGAGAGCACCAGCCATGCCTGCAAGCATGGCAGCTGGACATGGGGGTGTTGCTCTGGGGGGAACAGGGGGGACATGTCTGCATAGGGGGGACAGTTTCCAGATGATCCCCAGCCTTGGAGGGCACTCAGTGCACCGGTCATGGTCCTGTTGGGGTGGCATGCTGAGGACTGGAGGGGAGGAGATGACTGCCTTGCCCTGCCTCCTGCTCTGCTTTCTTGGCAGCTGCTGGTCCGTGGTGAGATCCTCACAGCCTCATGCGAGATGGTGCTGGTGGGCAGTTCCCACCAAGAGCACGGGAAGCAGGGAGACGAGCCGGCTGCCGTCAGGAACCACATGTGGGATGTTGCGTAAGTGTCTAAAGTAAAATACATGAAACCACACAAAGGCCTCAAAAGGCTCAAAACAGCCAGGTGTGCTGCTGAGACACCTCCTTCCTATGTTGGAGCACGTAGCTCAGAGGTGGGACTGGCCAAGCCCACCAGACTAGTGCTGCCCTGCAGGACACCTAAACTCACCTAAACTAAAGCAGCCCAGAAATATCATTTGGTTCCCAAACATTTGGGTGCCTTGGTGGGAATTTTCTTGACCTTTCCAGCAGCACTTCAGCTTAATGATTTACAAATGCTGCTAAAGCTTTACCAGATCACACACCATGCACCCTGGAAGCAGGTGTCTATTCCCAGAAACCCAGGGATTTTTCAGTTTGAGCTCCACAGCTGGGGGTGACTCAGCTGAGCACCTGCAAAATCACAAATCCTCCAAGTATGTTATTTGTCCCCTTAGCAAGGAGCTAGGTATGGAGGTATCAGGAGGATGAACTCTGCAGCTGGAGGGGAATGAAATGAAACCATCATGCTGGAGGATGCTTGCTGGTCTTTAGCATGGGAATTTGGGTTTTCTGTTAAGGTGTGAGATGTGGTGAAACTCTTCATGTGAAGAGAAGTAGTGGGTTTTGTTCAGCTCCATTCTGTGGCTTGCTTGTAGGAGACCTTCCTAAGAAGTAGAAGAAAAAACCAACCCAATTACACAAACAACCCCCTAAATAAGCTTGTCAAAATGTTACTAAGGTCATTCCCTGGAGATGAGGTAACTAAAATTTTGGTATAGGCAGATAATGCAGCCATGGGCTGTTTATAGAGTCAGCAAATTTACTGCTGTCAAAAAAAAAAAAAAAAAAAAAAAAAAAAAAAAACAAACAGAAAAGCAGTCAGTATTAATCAAATATAGTTTATTTTGTCAAACACTGCATCCTTTTGAAAATAAACATCTTGGTGTTGTTTGGCTGAGAGCGTGCTAGGATCTGAAGTACACATCCTTGCCTTGGGGCTGCAGAGCTACGTGTGCCACAGTCCTTCCCAATGGCTAATGCCATTCCCATGAAAGCCCTTGTGTCCGGCTCCTGGAGAGGCTCCCAATGGAGCATGTGCCAGCTCTCCGGCCCAAAAGGTTTGGAAAGGAAAAAAACCATGCTTGTTGCTGTGGGTTTTTTCCTGCTGGGCACCGTGTGGTGTGGTGGGAGCTGGCACTGGTACCCAGGAGCACTTTGTGGGAAAGGAAGGGCCCTGTTAGGGGCTATTCAGGGTTATTTCAGATGTTCCTTGGAACCCACAGGGATGCAGAAGACTTCTCCCAAATGATCCAGGACATTACCAGTGTTGAAAACCAGATCTTTCGTAGCAGAAGTACGGATTTAACCTCAACCTCCCAGTTTAGTGGCTGTCTCCTCCCTTGTAGGAGCCCAGCAGAGACCTCAACAAGTTCTTGCAACGAGTCAACACATTTGGGGATCTCTGCCAGTGGTTTTTGTTTGCTTTCGCGTCTTCTTTGCTGTTATTATTTCAGTGTGCAAAGATGCTGAACATCCAGAAAGGAAATCACTGCTGGATCCAAGCAGCACAACCACCCTTCGCACCCAGCTCTCTGCAGGGAAATCACTATAAAGAAGTCGAAAAGCCTGCCTGTAGCAGCCTGTATCCCTTCAGTGTCATATTATATTACCATCCACCATGTTAGCAAATGGGAAAATAAACATGGGCTGGATAGCAAAGCAAGAGGCTGTTTAATTACAGATGAGGAGAAGAATGACGTTTGTGTACATTCCATCCAGAAGTGGATTAAAGTGGTGACCTTTCCCGTGGTGTGAAACGGGTTTGTTGTGGAGCGCAGGCATCTTGTGTCAGTTCAAGATCTGCCAGACATTTGGTTGCCCCTGTTGTTTATGGTTAATGTTGGATGATGTCTCTTGAATCTGAATCTCAGCAGCTGACAGCGTTTTC